AACATGTAATTATCTGTAATGCCTATTTCAAAACTTTTAAGACTATTTTGTTTCAAAAAAAAAATCCAGTTAACATCTTTTCTAGACAACTGAGTTAAGAAAACAGTAAATCTGCAATTACTAAATATTTTCATGGAGTTAGCCACAGAAACCACATGCAGCACTGGACAATAACTGAATGACATTATCTGTACATGTTTTTCATCCAAACTAATGGATATTCGGAAAAAAAGGTGATCCTGTACTAGGCTTCGCAACACTACCCTTGAAAGATTTTAACCAGTCCTTTCACACCACCACCAAAGACGTTTTTTTCTACAGCCCTACTTCCTTGTTTTGAAAGATCTGCGCTGTCAAACTATATTTATTTGCATTTAATTCTCCAAAGGGATAAGAGCATTACTATACCAATTTCGTATTTCCATCCAAAATGTACAAACTCTGCTTTCTTGGCCCATACAGTCTTATCCCAAATAAACTGTATAATCTCCAAAGATATAGTCAGTCTTGATTATATAGATACAATCTACCATATTGTAGATTATTCACAGTAACTATCACATGATAGCATTAAGGGCTTTAAACACACACACACACACTCTCTCTCTCTCTCTCTCTCTAATTCTCGTTTTTTGTTTTTGTTTCTTTTTTGAGACGGAGTCTCGCTCTGTCGCCCAGGCTGGAGTGCAGTGGCCGGATCTCAGCTCACTGCAAGCTCCGCCTCCTGGGTTCACGCCATTCTCCTGCCTCAGCCTCCCGAGTAGCTGGGACTACAGGCGCCCGCCACCTCGCCCGGCTAGTTTTTTGTATTTTTTTTAGTAGAGACAGGGTTTCACCGTGTTAGCCAGGATGGTCTCGATCTCCTGACCTCATGATCCGCCCGTCTCGGCCTCCCAAAGTGCTGGGATTACAGGCTTGAGCGACCGCGCCCGGCCTCTCTCTCTAATTCTCAAAGTTACTATTATTTTCCCCATTTTAAAGATGAGAAAAGTGATGCACTGTGAGACTAACTAGCTGACCAGCATTATAACACATATCATAATCATATAGAATTTGTAAAAATATTAAAATTATTAATAGCTGAAAATACCAATTAGAAGGCTTCCATCATTTGGATGTGCAACAAATGCTTCCCTGGGTTAACCGTTAAGTAATGACTTGGCCATTCAGCTGTGAGGCCCAGTAAGCATGGCAGAGCTGGTAAGGCCATGCAGCCCACAATACAGCATCAGGATAAGAAATAAAAAAGCCAGCAAGTGGGCATGCAGCAAGGGTTTCAACTCTATCCGAACATTCCAAAAGAATAAGAGAGAATTTAGGACAATCTTAACCTCTGATAACCTCTGAGCCTCTTTTTATCCCTCAATTTATATAATGTTTAATGTTACTAAATCATTGCACAGGAATTATTTTTAAATGTTTACATAACATTTGTAGAATGATAAACATTTTCCTAAACACTTCGCAGGTTTCTGAGAAAGCATTTACACTGAGATTTGTTGTTACACTGACGTCCTTCCCAAACTCACCATTATTCTAGTAATAGAGAATTGATGCTACTAGAAGCAGCCCCCAAGCCCTCTCCGTCAAATGATCTCCCTCCCCTCTCCCAGCTCTTCCACTGCTGACCATCCCACCACCCTGACTTCACATTTCTCAAGTTCTGGTACACACACTGTACACACTGCCATTCCAATGATCTACCCATGTTGAGAGAAATGTCTCAGGATCAGGTGGACTAGCACCACTTCTCAGACTGCTGCTGCTAACAGGACAAACTTTCAGTGGTCTGAGACAAAAAGGGGGTTAAGAGAAGGGATTATATATTCATTTTTAAATGAAACACAAATTATTCAACTTAAAAGATCATCTTTTATTCCCGGGTTGTCCTTATTTTTTCAGTGTTAAAATGTGATAATGACCAATGCTTCATTTTCTGTATCGTCCTCACTGGCCAAATAAAATGTCAGAAACCCAGTCAATCCCTAAGCCTAAGGTTAGGGTAACAAACACTAAATCTACTATGTATGTATGTAGGGTAGAGGACAAGCCCAGGCAGGAAATAAAGGAATAAAAAACTTTCAGAGGAAGTAGATACTTTTACATTTAACAGTGACTACTGGTCCAGTGAACAAGCACAAGCAAAATGAAACTGCAAATTTCAGTATCTTACTCAGAAAGATTACAAGCACTGAGGCGGATGACAAATTTGACTTTTAAAATGAAAGCAGGCCAAGCGCAGCCTGGCGTGATCCTGGTGGATCACGTCTGTAATCCCAGCACTTTGGGAGGCTGAGGCAGGCAGATCACTTGAGGTCAGGAGTTCGAGACCAGCCTGGCCAATATGGTGAAACCCCGTCTCTACTAAAAATACAAAAATTAGCCGGGTATGGCGGCTGGCGCCTGTAATCCCAGCTCCTGAGGAGACTGAGGCAGGAGAATCACTTGAATCTGGGAGGTGGAGGTTGCAGTGAGCTGAGATCGCGCCATTGCACTCCAGCCTGGACAAGAGCGAAACTCCTTTTCAAAAAAAAAAAAGTAGGCCAAGCGCAGTGGCTCACACCTGTAATCCCAGCACCTTGGGAGGCCGAGGCAGACACATCACTTGAGGTCAGGAGGTCGATACCAGCCTGACCAACATGGTGAAACTCCTCCATCTGTATTAAAAAAAAAAAACACATACACACACACAAAATCAGTCGGGAGTGGTGGCAGGCGGCTATAATCCCGGCTACCTGGGAGGCTGAGGCAGGAGAACTGTTGGAAGCCACGAGGGAGAGGTGGCAGTGAGCCGACATCGCGCCACTGTACCACTGCACTCCATCCTGGGCGACAGAGCGAGAGTCTATCTCAAAAAAACAGAGTCAAGTTATGTAAAGCACTTAGAACAGTGTCCGGCACTTAGTAAGTGCTTCAGAAGTACTGTCATAAATATCAAAGGACTGGAATGAAAATTATAAAAATTCTGGTACTAAAAACTTCCACAAAGTTATTTAGAAGTACAACTTCTGCTCAGTCATCATTGGAGTATAAATAAAAAGAAAGAAAAGTACAACCATTTTTCCATAAAGTGCATGAAGTTGTGTGTGACATTTCTAGACTTTTTAATTTAAATGAGAAAAAATCACATTAGAAAAAACCTGAATCCAGTTAGAACACCCACTGTAAGACTCTCAATTGTTTGCAAATTTGCTTCCAAAGCTCAGGAATGCACTGCTCAACTGAGGCCGCATCTGAGAACACACACCCAATACTTCGCCAATGAAAGAAACTTTCATCTCAGCTGTACACTCAGAGACCAGGATTCCTCGCCTCCATGTTGATAAAACCCAACGACGCATAGCTGAGCAAGTCTTTCACCTAATAGCACACCAAGCTTCTACTGGAAAATTCACACACCAAGTGATGCAGTCACCACACAGCATACAGACACAGTATTTGCACTCTTCCTATCCCCTCCCCTGGGATCCAGACTCAGCCTGCTCACTCTGAAAGCTTTCTCAGTTCATCCTGCCATTTGCCCTTCTCCCAAGCCACCTCTACACCCGGGGGTGAATTATTAAAAAGAACATGTTTATTGATAAATACATCACTTTCTTTATTTGCACACAAGTTATCCACTTCCTTGCTACTCAAAGATAGTCCCTTGTCCAGCAGCACGTTATTAGAAATGTACAATATCAAAATGTACCATAGGCCTACTGAACCAGAAAATGCATTTTTAATAAAAGTCCCAAGTGATTCCTACCCACATTAAGGTTTGAGTGTTCTGTGATACTGCAGATAGCTGTACAAATTAAAAATTCTCAAGTTGACAAATGAATTCAGAGATATGGTATGAAAAGTACCAAGACCCAGAATCTCAAAACCCCAAAGAGAAAAACCAATATATAAATGAATTTCTTTGCCACCGATAGCAAAGGTTTATTTTTCAACAATACCTGTATTTATTGCTTCCTGCTTTAAGTATTTTGTACAAGAGCACAACACTTACAAAGGTTTACAAAAGAATTACTGGGTCTAGAAATTCCATTGCAATCTGCTCCAAACGTGTGAAACCTGCATGTTAAAACCTTAGGATTTTGTCCAATTCAGAGTTGACAAATGAACTCTTTCCAGAAAGTTATTAAACAAAAAAAAAAAAAATCTACAGGATGTTAACTTTAAACACAGATTACATAATTCCTGTAACTAAAGCGAGTAACTAGTATCGAACAAATTCTAGGTCACTTGTAGAATCGAATCTTGTATTGAAGGTCTGTGTCTGTTTTTCCAGGAAAAGTCGGGGTGGGGAGCGGGATTTGCCCTCCCTGCGAAGTTTTGTTTTTTTTGTTTTTTTGGTTTTTTTTGTTCTTTTTCTCTCTCATCCTGAAAGACCTCACTTTCTAACGTGTGAATAAACTTAAGTCGTACTAAATCCAGGTCACGGTTCCTTTCCTCAAAAGTGAAGTTAAGACTTCTCTCTTCTAAACACTGTATTTTTTAAGGTTTGAGCATTCCGTGCCCGCTTCGCTTCCGGCCAGGGAAGGAAGCGTGCGTCCCGGGGCCCAAACGAACAGGGAAATTTATCAAGTAGGAAGTTGAGCACTAGTCCAGCCGCCAGGCCCTGCCTTTACTGCAGCTAGCCTTCCAGTCCAGACCCCGACCTCCTGGGGCAGGGAAGGCAAGTAGGCGACAAGCAGCTACCCCGCCCAGCTCACCATGCCCGCCCGGGAGCTGACGGGTACACCCCTCCCGCCATCCACCCCCCAACGCTGACTCCCAGGCGCACAAACGGGGGGCGGTGCGGCAACCGGTCAGCCGCGGCGGCGGCATCCTCAGGCCCTCCCGTGAGGCGGCGGCGACGGCTGCAGCAGCGGCGCGAGGGGAGGCGAAACGCGTCCTGAGGCTGAGTGGGAGGCCGGGGCGGGAGCGACTGCATGTGGGGCTGCACTGGAGGAAGGCGGAGGCGTTTAGAGGGCTTGGGCTTTTTTACGATCATCATCATTATTTTGTTTTACCTGTGGCGCAGAAGGGCTCCCCAGCTCCTATTCCCTGAATCATCCTCCTCCTCCCCTCCTCTTTCTCTCTCTCTCTCCCTCAGTCTGCCAGGCGCTCGCGGAAGCGGCCGGGCCCGGCCCGACCTGAAAGAGAACCGGGCGGGAGGGGGTGGCGGCGGTGACCAGCGGCCACGTGACCACGCTCGCGCCGTAACGGCGGCCGCCTCCTACCGCGCGCCCTCCTCGCGCTCCACCTCTAATAACCCCGCAGCCCGCGTGCCTGGGAAGCTCGTGCGCAGGCGCCCGCCCGGGACCTGAAGTCTGCGCGCGAGCGCAACGCGCTCGCTCTCGGATCCGGGTTTCTGGGGCCCGCGAGGCGCGAGACGCGAGTAGGTGGATAGTGAGCCGCGGGCAGAGCTCTCCTTGGCTGAGCCGGCAGGCTGCTGAGCGCATGCGCCTGAGCGCTTTTACGCCTTCCTGCTCTCCCTGGTTCCAAGCGGTGCTCGGCTGGAGGCTGGGAACCACCTCCTGGGTCTAAGTCAGAGGTTCACATCCACCAACTACCTTCCCAGGATTGGACTGAGAAAGGGAGCAGAGGGTCCCAGGAACTCTCTTGAGATCCTGGCTGTCCTGCCAAGGAATTTATATTTCCTTGTCACAGGTAAATGGCCTTCCATTCCACATTTTTCTGTAACTGAGTAGGCTTCTAACTCAACTCATCTGTCACTTTCTCCGTGAAACTTACCCCTCTCTACTTTAGAGGAGTCACTAGCACTTTGTGCAGACCTACCTTGTAGTACAACCCATAGAAAGATAAAGGTTAGGAGTTATTTTTTCACAAACCCACAATACTAGACTGTGGCTTCTATCTTTATCTCATAACCTTGGACAGGGTCTTGAGTGTTGTATCTCCCTAAAGGTCTGATGACTATCAGAACACAGGTAATGTCTAAAACGTTGTATCGTTGCCCTTGGCCTCTGCATAATCATGATTTAAGATCCCCTTTAACCCAAGCACGTGGGAAGCTAGTGTTTGTTTCCCCAATATGAAAGCCTTTAAATCGTAATGCTAATTAGAGTGGTAAATGCTTCACTTAGTAAAAGAGATTTATGGTATTTTATTAGCTTATCTTCACAAAGAACTCCAACGAAAATTGATACTATTTAGTCCAGAAAAGGAAACCAAGTCAGAGAAACGTCAGATTTCTGAAGGTTATCTAGCTTCAGAGGAAGGTGCCTGTGTGAGAGACATTTGTTTGTGGACAAACACTCCACTTCACGCGGGGATCCCTCTTTTTCTGTTGCCCCTCTTTCTGTTGCAGAAACTGAACACGTTAAGTTAGTGCCTGTGGCCAGATTTAATCAGGCCAGATTTATTTATTTATCAAATAAAATGTAAAACCTTCCTAATTGGGAGTTCTGGCTAGACCAGACATCATCACTGTTAGACTGGTGAATACTGAGATGACAGTCAAGAAATGGGACTAGCAACAAAAGGACAGAAAATCCTGGGATGAATGTATATGAAGAAATAGGATGAACAGGGGCTTCTGAGAAACTAGGAAAATTACAACACTCAAGATTCCTTTCTCATATGTTTGCAAAGTTGATGGACTCTTTTCTGCATTTACCACTGTATACACCCACGGAGTGATCCCACCTCATAGTTTCAGCTACCGTGTAGGTTATGCTAATGGCATCCCATTCTAAATATTCAGCCCAACATTCAGACCCTGTGGTAGGTTACTTTCTTATGGCCCACAATTAACTATGCCTCCCAATATTCATGCCCATGTATAGTCCTCTCCCTTTGAGTCTGAGCTGGACCTGTCACCTGCCTAAAACAATCAAATACGGCAAAAATTACTCTCTGTCACTTCTAGGCCTAGGCCTTAAAAGGCTTTGCAGGGCCAGGCGCGGTGACTCACGCCTGTAATCCCAGCACTTTGGGAGGCCGAGGCAGGCAGATCACAAGGTCAGGAGATCGAGACCATCCTGGCTAACACGGTGAAACCCCGTATCTACTAAATTTACAAAAAAGTAGCCAGGCGTGGTGGCACACATCTGTAGTCCCAGCTACTCAGGAGGCTGAGGCAGGAGAATGACGTGAACCCAGGAGGCGGAGCTTGCAGTGAGCCGAGATCGCGCCACTGCACTCCAGCCTGGGCCACAGAGTGAGACTCTATCTCAAAATAAAAAAATAAATAAATAATAAAAATTGTGACACTTGGTTTTGCAGCAAGTGTGTGCTTGCTGATTCTCTGCTTCATCATCTATGTGCATTCTCCGTCTTGGGACATGGCAGAAAATGAAGCAGAAAAGAATGCAAATGTTCTCAAAGTCTCTTGGGAAGGATCGGTTCTGTCCTAGGCCTCTGCCCATGCAGACACTCAGCCTGGGACTACTCTGGTCAGGCCACCAACTACATACCTTCTCCTGGCTCTTTTCTCCTCCACTCCAACTCACCCAGTTAAATTGGCCATCATTAGATCCTGAAATTGCTATGGTGGCATAGACTGACATGATAATAAGATGTACAGTCTACAGTATGGGATTGTCCAGTGGGAAGTGAAAGAGTTGTGGTAAGCATGTGTGGAGCTGGCATGCTACCCTCTGCATCATCCATGGAAATGCCCAACTCAGATCTCCTGCTGCAAGAAGCGTAGTTGACTTTCAGCCTCAGCAGCTGCCCCCCTGGATCCACTACCAAGTTCACGCTGAGGCCACACTTCTCCTGGGCTAGTCCCACTCAATGATTGATTGCAGCAGGGGTATTAGTGAAGGCCGAAGGAGGATCCCTCTAACAGGCAGCTTTGGCTCAAGGCTTCCCCAGTGGCATGGCCAAAACTTTCTTTGAACTGTGCCACAGTCTAAAGCTCTTCTTAACAACTCTTCTGTCCTTTTCCCTTAGCTTTCCCAGGTTACAGACCTGCATTGTGGTCTGAAGTCTTCACCTCTGCCCACACACACAGTTCAGCTCCTGCTTTTTTCCCTTTATTGATGTTCTCTCAGTAAAGCTTTTGTACACCAAAAGCTTTGATGTAAATGAACAGGAAGTCCCAGAATGGGGTTTCAGTTCAGGTCGTCTGAGAAGCAAATACCACGATGGGACTTACAAAATGAGCTGAAACACAACCCCATTCTAGGACTTCCTTTTTCATCCTCAGACTATAGCTACAGGTCACAGTTATTAGTAATATCAAGACATCTAAATTCTTTTAATTCTTTTGGGTTTTGGGTTTTGAAGAACGTTTCATGCCCTAGAGGCATCTATTAAAATGAAGCTAACCCTAGATAGAGATAACAACAAGCTGAAGCATTTCACTGTTAAGAAAATAAGAAAGGTCAGGCACAGTGGCTCACGCCTGTAATCCCAGCACTTTGGTAAACTGAGGTGGGCGGGTTGCATGAGCTCAGGAGTCCAAGACCAGTCTGGGCAACATGGCAAAACCCTGTCTCTACAACACACACACAAAAAACGAGCTGGGCATGGTGGCACACACCTGAAGTCCCAGCTACTCGGAGACTAAGGTGGGAGGATCACTTGAGCCCAGCAGGTCGACGCTGCAGTGAAACCTTGTCTCAAAAAAAATTAATTAAAAAAAATAAGAAAGATGATTTGAGTTATTTTGACTGCAAAAATGATTAATATTGTGATAAATATTGTGAGGCTAACAATAAAAGTTTTGTGGGGTAATAGGGCCACTTTGATACCCCACACACCATTCTGTGTTTCTTTTTTTTTGAGATGGAGTTGTGCTCTTTTTGCCCAGGCTGGAGTGCAATGGCACTATCTCGGCTCACTGCAAACTCCGCCTCCCGGGTTCAAGCAATTCTCCTGCCTTAGCCTCCCATGTAGTTGGGATTACAGGTGCCTGCCACCATGCCCGGCTAATTTTTTGTATTTTTAGTAGAGACAGGGTTTCACCATGTTGGCCAGGATAGTCTCGATCTCTTGACCTCATGATCCACCCACCTCAGCCTCCCAAAGTGCTTGGATTACAGGTGTGAGCCACCGCGCCCGGCCATACCATTCTGTGTTTCTGGAGCAGATACTTTGGGAGTTATTTGTCCAGCTCATAACAAGAACTATCATCCCAGCACTTTGGGAGGCCGAGGTGGGTGGATCACCTGAGGTCAGGAGTTCGAGACTAGCCTGACCAATATGGAGAAACCCCGTCTCTCCTAAAAATACAAAATTAGCTGGGTGTGGTCGCGCATGCCTGTAATCCCAGCTACTCGGGAGGCTGAGGCAGAAGAATCACTTGAACCCAGGAGGCAAAGGTTGCAGTGAGCCGAGATAGCGTCATTGCACTCCAGCCTGGGCAACAAGAGCAAAACTCTGTCTTTAAAAAAAAAAAAAAAAAAAACTATCAACCACTATTCCTCAATCAATTCTTCTTTCTTTCCACTCCCAATTCTCGTTCAATAACCTAAAACAAACTGAGGCCAATCAGCTTCTCTTCTGAAATAATGAAGAATTGGGATTACAAGGGAGCTAGTGAGTCTTTGTGTGTGGCTGGCTGGACCTGTAACAACCACCCGACAGAGTAGACCATTTCATAAGTCAACCAGGAGAAGAGAAACCACTTCAACTATTTACAACAGTTGAATTCTAATACGGGGAATGAGTTAACAGGTGATGGAAGAGCTATTCCTGCTACCTGGAACACAGATGTAATGGTCACTCAGTTTCCAATGTGCAGAGCAGCAAACAGGCAATGGGGGAGATTTTCCAGAGATGAGCAACAGCAGGAGGGAACTCAACTACCCCTCAGCTGACGAGACACAGAAAGTGATCATGTTAATAGGGCCCGGGGCTGAGGTCATCCTGTGGTACATACAGAGTGGTGTTATGCAGAGAGAACTACTTAGGGCATCTTTCCTCAGGGGGTGACTATATGCATAGCAGAGGCATGCAAGGGGCACCTCCTCTGCTTGCCCTCCCACCAATAACCACAAGGAGTAGGAGTCTGTTTCCTAAAGAAGGGTCATGGCTATTTGGCAGAGCAGGGAGAGATACTTAGCAGACAAAACAATATTTGTTCACTCCATTCCTTGTGTTAGTTACCCAGCACATGTATATATCATTCTTCTCCTCCATAATTTCAAAACTCTTTCACCTAATAAACTCACCTTGTAAGTAAAGATATGAGGTACGCAACCAATTGATCGGTGATATTAGGGAGTGGCTGTAAAGTCATTTTAAATCTCATCCTAGTCATGGAAAATGAAAGTGAAATTATTCTTCAGAGAGTCTGCCCTCAAAATGCTAAAACCAGAAAT